AGTAGATATTCATAAACAATTTGGATATTAAAAATAAAAAAAAAATAAAAATAATAAAAAAAAAATTCCACACACCCTTATTGACTCCCTATATTAAGACTTTCCACAGGGTATTTAATTTTAAGCATAACTTTTAAAACATATTTAACTGTTCAAAACATTGTACAGTATGTCAAAAAAAAACTATATTTCTAGCTTGGTATATATTGACAATAATCCTGAAGACACTCGTTATTATTAAATTCTATTACAAATAAATAAGGATTAATTTCCTTCTACAGTCTAGTGAAAGGCGCCACAGTTAGATCCGCTCCTCAATAGTGCAGTCGACGACAGCGCCGTAGGGAATTTCTGACCAATCAAATGCCTTTATATTTGTGAGCGCGAACTATAAATAAATCTTAACCTCTAAATCGAAAGTAGAAAGATGGATTTGATTTTAAGTAAAAAACAATTACTTCTAATTTTCCTTGGATTAAATGTTTTCACTTTGATGAAAGTCTCATCAACAACGAGAATTTGCGCGTGAATCAACATGACGCCATCTTACAGGACGCCATGTTGGCGACAAGAATCTCAGTTCCATAGGTATTGTAAATGACATATAGTTTACAATAGATTTCTTTTATTTTTCATATACATACGTGTTTCCCAGAGGGAGAGCTTCGCTCTCACGGGCCCGAAGGGCCCGTGAGAGGGCTGCCGCCCTCTATGAGGATGAATATCTATTCATTTTTTTACTCAAATTATTCGAATTTGATGGTAAAATCACTAAAATGTGTGTACCAAATTTGGATATAATATGACGTTCAATAAAAAAGTTAAGACAAAAGTCTACGTAAAATGTGTCATGTACATTTCCAGGCATTTTCATTGACGATGAAATATATGGAGATAACAAAGAGTATCCAAACCTGCAACATTTGAATATGTTCAAAGTATCAAAGTCCATTTAACAAAACAAAATAGGAGAAGAGCAAACCTGAACCTGCAAAACATCAGAGGTGGGATCAGGTGCAATGAAGGAGTGGGCATTCCCTGCCTACCAGTGACACGCGCCGTGTAAAATTTCGTGTGAAGTACAACTTAAATTCCACAAAACTACACTTATTCTACTTGTATTTCCTTATATCTGCTGTAATTAATAGCACAAGTTTTCATTTCCAATTTTTTTTTTATTTATTTTTTTTCTTTGAGTAAATTCCATCTATTTTTGAATGAAAAATTTATAAAATATGAGTACAAAGGACTGATATATTACTTTTTAGACATGCTCTATAATTGTTCAGTTGTTTTCATATCTTCAAACAGGACACTATTATACTTTTTCTCCCTGGTACATTACAAGTGATCATCTTACTGCATTAAATATTTTAAACACTTGAACAGCTGGTATGGAGTCGTAAACGTTTAAATGAATCATTATGGATCTAGATTTTGTTAAATACTAATTCATTTTTATTTTAAAAGAAAACTTCAAAATCATAATCACTATTTTGAATTGATTTTACATTTCCTTTGTCGCTGAATAAGCTGAAATAGTGGATTTCATTTATAATGATCATAAAGCTTGTCATTTGTGTTGAAAAATGACAAAAAAATAATACACGTCTAAAAGCAGCGCAGAAAATATATTTACTGTATTGGAGGATCAGACTGTTTCCGTGTTTCAGTGCGATAAAAAATGCCTGGCATTGCGTAACTTCTTTGATGTTAATAACAAATTCACCTCGTGATCAAGGTGCGTATATAAGAGCCGTATATTCATAAAAATATCCTGTAATATTTTGACGAATATTCGACAATGAATATTTAAATCATAATTATGTACATTCAAGATGTCGATCCTAGCAGACGATTTTTTGGGTGTACAATGCAAACCCTGCAAATACTCCATGTACTCAAATACAGCCATTTAAAACCTGGACAAAATATGACAAGGATCTAAAAATAAATTAGGTTATAAGATATGTTACAAAATAAAGAAAAGAAAGTACAGGTAAGAAATGCAATTTATTAATGACAATCATACGGTGTTCTTAAATATTTTCATTTATTCATAAAATTTTCAGTTAACTTTCAATTTTACTGAGTATTGCAGTTATCATTGCCTGTTTGCTGCATGTCAATGTCGTTAGGTGTAGCCTTTTTCTTAACTAGAGCACGCTGTGTGTAATAAATGTCCAAAAAATCTTAAACAAAATCTTTCAAAAAGATTGTTTGCATTGCGTTACTTGAACTGCACAAAGAGGTGGAGGGGCTCATTTGGTAAAAACATATGAAAAATCAAAAAATAATGTTTTATAAGATTTATTCTTATCTTTTTTTTAATCACAAGGTTAATAATGTATTTTAATTAAATTTAAAGAATGGATTTGTTTCATTTTATCTATTTAAAGAAGACAATCTCTTTACATTCTTTGATCCGCATACAATTTTCACCAGTCAGGCGATCTGCAAGAGTTGATCAAAAAATCGTATTAACAAAACTCACTTTATTTTTTAAAACTGTTTTTCACGATTTTATTTTATATCAATAAGCTCTTCTGTAATTATCTTCTAGATTTTATATGAAGAAGGTTTTTTTTTCAAATCTGGTTTTGAATTTCGGAAGGTATGTGAAATCAATACTCTTATCTGTGTTATATGACACTAAATGAAATGAAAATTCCTTAAAGATATTAGAAGAGATGGTTGATAAAAGTTTGCTATATATTATGTTTTATAGATTTAAGACAACCACCGTGATGCTCAGAACTGCCTGGGGATGCCACCTGTCTTTGCTTTTACAACTTATGACCCTGACGAATCTATGTGAGGGAATCAATAAAAATATGAACTTCCTTCCAGCGTTTGACGGAGAAGGACCGGACGACTACTGTGAGAAAACTTTGCATCATTTCAACTGCAGCGTTGGCGTAAGTAATTTATCAACATTTTAATGACCCTTTTATTGAAGATCGAGGGTTAGGTTTTGATTGATTGATTGATTGTTTATTGTTTAACGTCCCTCTAGAGAATTCTTCACTAATAATTATATGGAGACACCACCACTTGCCGGTAAAAAAAGCTGCAATTTTTGTCCTATACTTGGCACTCAGCGTCCTTGAGCAAGGATGGATCTTTTTCGTGCCAGTACCTTCTGCGACGCAGGACCTCGGTTTATACAGTCTCATCCAAATAACCCGTCTCCACGTCCCACAGTGGGATTCAAACCCACGACATTAGGATCAACTCCTTACTTCGCGATGTTAGGTTTTGATCTGTCTGTTTTTCCATCATTTAACTGTTAATTGGTTAGAGCTTTCATTATTTAGGAGTGAATTTCTTGTAACAAGTCCTTTTTTGGATACAAACATATATGACCTTATGCCTGTGGGGTAAGTTATTCTTTTAATTTTTTTTAACTTGAGCCTTTGTCATAGCTTGTGAACGATAAGTGCTAGGGCTTCTTTACTTCACATTTGTATTCGTGTGACAAGACGTTCATTGGCCATATATTTTGACTAGCTGACCTGGCCTTGGTTTTTTGCTTACTTTAATAAAAAAAATCTTGGCCATAATTTTGTAGATTTGGTGCTAGAACTCTCATATTTCATAGATGCATTCTTTGTAATAAGATCTTAGTTGTGTACCAACATTTTCATCTCTTTACTATAACCTTCGAGCTTTCTTTGCATTTAAGAACTTCGCCATGAACCTATAAAGGATCAATTACGTTGAATATTTCGTATATGTACTTTAAAAGATCATGATATGTATTAAAAAGATGTGTTAACATTGATGCTCTCGTATAGCAGCCTATACCAAAAGTTTAAGTTTTTTAATGCATGTTAAATTCCAAGATATATTCTAAAAGATTGTGTTTGAAAGAAAAGACTTATTTTAATGAAATACCTGTGGAATATAAATATGAAAAACCATGCAAGAACCAGGGTTAAAATTTGATAAACTTTTGCAAAAATGTGTCAAGAGGCAAAATATATTTTATTACCCCCAAAAAGGTTTTGTCACAAAGAATACATGTACACATGTGGAATGCAGCTTGAATAAAAAAAATTAAGGAAAATTTAGGTCAAAGTTTCTGCAAACAAACAGACAGACTGACGGAAAAGGGCAAATCATATATACACAGGAATCCTCGTTTATTGGAGCATAACAAAAGAAACAAACACAAACTAACTTTGAATGAAAATCTACATAGGTTACGATTATTAGAATTAATTATCAAAATCCTACTACCGGTGACGGTATCCTAGTGATAGAGCGCTCGCTTGGTGACCGGGAGGCCCGGGTTCGATTCTCAAATGCGGCGCCGCTTCAAACCTAGGACGTTAACATGGGTAGTGATTTTTCCTTCGCCTAAAACTCGGCACTAGAAGTTAAAGTCACCTGTCTTTTGGATATAACCTTAAAAATGTAGGTCCTGTGACCAGGTAGGCGTTGGCACGATAAAGAACCCTCGCTGCGCAATGACCCTAAGTGCCGAGTATAGGCCTTCACCAGCATACGGTGACGTCTCCATATGAGTGGAAAATTCTCGAGAGGAGCGTTTAACAACAAATAATCAATCAATCTAATTCCTACTTTGAATAACAAAATAAATATAAACAATAAATGTATTCATTTATTGCTGGTAAGAAAATTAACGTTGCACCTATTACAGAAAAAAAAAATAACCCTCTTACACTGTATTTTGTGGGATAGGCATATTTATTTAAATATCTAGATCTGCAACAGCCGCAAAAATAATTTCCATATTAACAAAGAAAGCATGATCACATGTCTGTTGTTGTTGTTGTAGCTGTTTTTTCTTCTCCTGTCTATGTTTGTTTAGCGGCAATAATGTAGCCCTTTCCCTTTTTTGGGGGGAGAGGGCTACAACTCCTAATGATCTCCGTAATGGTGCAACTGCGGGAGCGATTCACTCCCGCACGGATTTCAGCTTAAATTGTCAGTAAACAACACTTTACTTAGTGCAACTTTTGTACTTCAGGTTGGGTAGAGTACATTAAAACACTTGGTAAACCTACACGCTGCTCTCTCTGTGAACGTTCTCAGCTGACGTCATTACGAGATGTCAGAATAACACAGCGGGACTACCTTGATGAGGAATACTCGTATCCAACCATCTAGCTTAACCTTACAGTACCGAAGCCTTCAGTTCTCAGATCATTTTGTACGTATTATACAGTTAAACTAGTATTGTGCTACTTCCCCTTCCCATTTAGTATTTTTAATCATGAAATATTTTTTTAACTCTTGAATATTGAGAAGGAACATCTGTGAGAAAAAAGTGAAAAAATTACTTATGTTATCATCAATTCATTTGTAATCAATAAAAAAAAACTCATATTTAATGCAAGGAAAGGGAAAAACCTCAGATTTTTAATTTGGGATTTTAATATAGACGAATTCGCTTAACATTCATATTGTAAACAATTCCATTTTTAGTTCCAGGTGGAATTTCCTTGACCTCTAGCAGTAACAACAAATCTTTAACTGCTGATTATGAGTTTAAAACACTTTATAGACTGCATGACTTTTCAAAGTACAGTTATTCCAGCCCTGATAGTGATAAAAATTATCAGGTAAATTATTGTCAATATTTCATTTCTTTATTCAGCTTTGAATATTTTTGCTGAGATATATATTTAGCTCTGTCCAATTTATTCAAGTTTGATTCTTTGTTTAAAGGATATTTCCTCCCTTTCACTACAGTATCATTCGATAGATTAGCATTTTTTCACTACATTGGGAAATATCATGCCACGTCAGTCAGAGATGGCAATAATTTGAAACAATTGTTAAACAATTGTTAAAAGTATTCCCAGTTTCTTTTAGAAAAAAATTGTAGACAATATAGGTAACCATGATAATTTATATAATTTTATACAGAGAACTTTGAGTTTCCCATGTTTTATGGGATTCCGACATGAACCGTGTTATCTGCTGAATACAAAGTGTACTCTGCTTCCATCACATCCGTATCGAGCTTATCCATGTTAAAAACAAGTTTTGAAGAAACAGCGGTTTCAGAACGTACTTACAATATCACGACGTATAAAGTTTCTGGTATGTATAATTTCTTCCTCTGTAAAGTCCGGTGTTGTTGACTTCTCAATATTTAATGAAGAAACTAAAAAACATTTTGGTTCCTGTATTTATCTTAGCTGTTGGTTATTTTGAAAGAAGGTGGTAAAAAGTCTTTTGCATGCATTTTTGATTTAAAGCAATGCAAAGAATGACATGTTGCCATGTGGGTGTTTCTCTTGCTTGTTGTTGCCTTTTGAATATTTTATTAGCTACAATATTTTATTAGCTCAATGTAAAGAATGATAGCTTTTTTCAGTTTACTGTCTAGATTCATGGAAATCCACGATAGCTGTTGCTTTCTCTCCTGAGGAAGAAGACGTCTCATATGTGTTTGAACCTGTTCCAGATAATGTAACATTCCAAATGTACAACGTTTCGCTAATAGATGCATATAATAACACATTGTATAGGCATCAGCGTATTTTCAAAGAACAGCCAACTCAGAATGTCTTTCTGGACGTAGAGGATGGAATTTATAATATTTTAGTATGTCAACATGCAGGAAAAAGAAACTTGAATATGAAAACACTGTACAAACAACAAACTTGAAGGGGAATTATTACTTAGAAATTATAGCAGTTTTCTCTGAAACATTAAATACTATTAAAATTCAGCTAAAATGGTATAAACATGAAGAAATTTGACTTATCAAATATTTTTTTCTGTTTTGTAGAGAGAGGTGAATACTACAGACTATAATTGTCCAGAGAGTTGTAGATACACAAGGTCTCACAGTTTCATAGTTGGAAATTTTCAACCATTACAAGTTAGAGGTACATGCATATATAAATCCAAAACTTATCACTATATCTTCAAAAAATCTTTTGCCTGAATTTTAACTGTTAAAGAATATTTATAAATGTTCATTTGATTATCACACATAATTTAACTGAAGTTTTTAAATTAACAAGTAAATAGTAAAAAAAAGTAAGCTTGTTTTGATATTATCTGGATATCTAAATGCGTGATACATGTATCAGGCAATGCATGTACTGTTGGTCGATATGTTTGGAATGTATACATCATTAAGTAAAAATAAAATCTAGTTATTTTAGAATGCAAGGGAGTCCAGAGTCCGTGGCAGAAAAAAAATCAATATATATTAATGGCTATCAAATTTCTACTTTAGACTGAATCAAAGCATTATTAATTTCTAGTCATCTTGGAGGCACGACTTATATATATTGCGGAATTACAGGGTTTTAGCTAATTATTGCTATCTGTTTTCGTTCTTCGCCGTGCGTCGTCCATTGTGCGTTCGTATTTAAACATTTTCAGCTTCCTCTCTGCGATCACCCAATCATTTTCAACCACTTCTAACGTATCAATTAATACATTTAATTGAGGAAAAAAATTGTGAATTTCATGGTCCTTGCCCCCTAAACCTGACGGTTGGGACGGAATCCACTTAATTTGATGCAATCTCGAAAATCGTCCTCTCTACTCGTGTACATCAAGCAGTCAATCTGTTAGCATGATTGTAATAAGCACTAGGTCCTCAACAAAAATTGTGAATTTCATGGGCCAAGCGTCAGGGGTTCTAATGCTAGGGTTGGGCAATATAGATTACATGTATATAGTGAACATGCTTTATTTCTTTTTTTATTTCCTCTTCTCAATTCCTGGGTATTAAGTAAAATAAACAAGTACATAGTGACATGAATGTTTAGCAAAACTGCCTCTTCCGCAATTGTGAAATCCATAACCCCTGTCTCAGGGATCTGGTGTCAGTACGGGTCTTTATTGTTTATATAGTGAAAATGCATATTAAATTGTTTGAAAATCTTCTCTGCTCCTGAGTATTAAACAAACTAAGTACATAGTTATGATGATGAGCAAGAGTGCCTCTTTCAGAATTTATGTTGAACAAGGCTGCCTCTTCCATAATTATGAATTTCATAGTTCTTGGTCTTATGTATTTGAACGGTTAAGAGAACATTTATTCTATAACACAAAATGTACTTTGAAAATTCATAGATTTAATGATATGTAGACTTGTATATAATAGATGAATAAAATGAGACAAAACTAACTTATCTTTCTAACTATTCTTCAAAGGCCAACCAGATCAATGTGAGACTTACATTAACAATAGAGGGTTAAATAAATATATATATTGATTGTTAATAGTTTCATGGTAATAGTGATATATGGGGGACAGATGCATGTACATGTAGTGACTTAGATCAATTATTTTGTTGACCCTAATCATACTATTTCTCTTGTATATGGGCAACAAAACTTCATTTATGTACTCCAGTGACCATTAAGGCCCATATTGGCTTCCTGTTTTTTCTTAAATTTGAAAAGTGTGTCTTTTGTATTATCAGTTAGGGGAGACAGCAAAGACCCTACTGAGCTAATAAAAATGGCAGCCATTTTGATTGGTAGTGGGGTTGTTTTACTTCTGTTACTCCTTGGTATCCTTTGTCACCTTCGGCGGAAAAAAGATTACGGTATGTATGAAAATTCGTGTATAATTATTATACAGCTCATAACAGTTACATGTGTCCTAGACCAACATGTATTTACAAAGAAACTGAGTAGACCGTTTATCAATTACGATCCTTTTCCAACATAAATTTGCTTTATTAAAATCATTTTCTGCAAATCTTACGCAGGGAAGCTACAAACAGTTTGCAGCGATGAATAAAGCTAAAAAAAAACAATGACCATTTGTTATACAAGTCTGTTATGTTGCGAATGTGTAGCATGCTCAATGAATAAAGCTAAAAAAAACAATGACCATTTGTTATACAAGTCTGTTATGTTGCGGATGTGTAGCATGCTCAAAGTAAAAAATAATTCATGGTGATTTGTCTTGCTGTAGGTCAAAATCAAACAGTTATAGTTTTCTGAATTTGGAAACCTTAATGCTACATTGCGACAAACTTTGTTGAAAGCATTGCTGAAAACATGCTTCAAATATTGCTGCTTAAGTGCAACAAACCTTTTTTTTTTTTTTGCTTTTATTTCAACAATATAACTGAAGCATTTTATTCATTCTATGATCTATAATGACCATGTAAGCAAAACATTTTTTGATTTTATTATTTAAGTTATAATGTATTATTTACTTGAAACTTCATCATAAACATCGTTCTTCAAATTTGTTTACCTTATGATTTTTCAAATATTTATTTCAGATGTGCCAGTTTTTTTAAACGGACTTCTGATTTATTCCAGTGATAGTAGAAAAACCAATACTTTAGCCAGTGAATTTGCAAAATTCTGCATGGAAAAAATACAAATACACATTTCTTATCTGAAACCCCAAAATGACATCGTTCTAAGAGATTATACAACATGGCTCAATAGAAAACTTGAGAGATCAAAGATAATTATCATATTTTGGACTCCAGAGTTTATTCGGGAGCAAGAAGAAGGTGTTATTACTTCCAGCCATTTAAAAACAGGTGTTAATCTAGCACTGAATTTAGAACACAACGTCAATAGGAAATTAGCATGCATATATTTTAACAAATCACACAAAACATCTATTCCAAGCGGCCTTTGGATGACAGCTCGTATATTTTTATTTCCAGAACAATTCTCTCATTTCTGTTCTTATATAAGAAAACACAAATCCATTCGAAATTACAAATTGACTAAAGCACTCAAACGCGCAATTTTTTATTTAAATATAAATAATAGGGCAGTGGAAACAACCAACGATTGTCACACTATCCCTGCAAGACATATAAATGATGAAAAAATAGAATCTGATGATGAAGATGATATTATTTCTAATGATGGTCATCACATTTTGTGGAAATCTAAATCGTGTTGGAGGGAAAATCAACCCTTGATGGGAACTTATGATTCAATGACTTCGTTTTCCGATTCCCCACATGTTAAAAAGAAATCAACTTTCATTGAGAACCCATCATTACAAGACAAAAGTAAGAGTCAAATGTCAACTGGAATATCAAAAAGGATACCAGCCATGGTACATGAACGTATCGTCTGATAGCGTTCCTACTCTGAAATTATTTGGATCAGGTACAAACAGTGAGCACAGTCATTCAAGCAGAAGTCCTAGCTCTAGTATTTATAGCATTACTAGACTACAATTAAAGAAAATTCCTTCCACTTTGGAAGATAAAGATCTGCCCTCTCAATCTTCAGGTTATGAAGACTGTGAACCTATCAAAACACCACATTCGTCATATGAATCACTGAACTCTTCATGCACTTCAGCTCCACATCTTTATCAGGAATTATTACCAACTACTGAAACAGGGCAAATAAATGTACAAGACTTGGATAGCAAAGAGGCTTATCCCAATGCCAGTGTCAGAAATAGTAAAACTGTTCACGGTATTGACGTTTTGCCATACTGTATGAAGTGTTCAAAGGTACCATCCAAAGAAGACAGAACTTCAGAGAGTTTTCGTGACAATAATGATAATTACAGTAACCGCAGTGAAAATATAACAAGTTTAGACATTGATACTTGTGAATTTACATAGCATCAGCCACCAAAACGTACTATTTTCCTGATAAACTGAACATAGAATAGATTTGATTAATATGTATCATTAAATTCAATGTTGCTATTAGGGAAAATTATGTTTTCAAATGGTATATCTACATGTTCAACTTGAAATTTTATAAATTCATTAAACAGTTGTACTTGTTAATTTTCTTAGATTTTTTAAAGTATGATAGAACATCAGTGTTGCATAAGCTGACAAACTGAGTCACTTCAAAAGATATATTCATTATATTTTGTGAACAGTTTAGATATATTTACATTTATTGATAAAAAAAGAGTCACACGTCTGTCTGAGTATATCTTTTAAAAGATGAGGGTAAAATCTAGATATTCCTACCAGCGGTGATGAAAAAGTCCAAAAAATATTGAATACCTTCCAAAAAAAGACAGGATATAGGGTTTCAATGTTGAAGGATATGAAGATAACGAACCGTATTTAATACCAAAGTCCACAAAAATGAACACAAAATAGAAGCAAAGCAGAGAAAGTAAACATTTCCTGCCGACCGGCTACATCCGCCGTGTGCTCCTTGTCATGATTGGGAAATAACGGAAAAATCCGTTGTCAATTCAGTGTATAAATAATGTAATAACAATAAAAATAAAAAACGTCATTCAGCATTAGACTCAATGATAAATTGTATTGCTGACAAGGTCATTCTATGGACCAAAGAACTTAAAAAATGAAAACTTTAAGTTAGACTGCTAATATTTTGTTTCATCAACTTGTTTGTTAATAGCTTTCCTCGCTTGAAAAATTGAACATGCTCCTGCGTATCATATCAAATGAGACATATAAACACCGTATGCAGGTGATGAAGGTATATTGCTGCATTTAAGTAAGGGAATTATGAAGTTGACGATATAAAAGTTTATGTCATCCCGTTCGCGGGTATGTTAAGGAAGCATATAAGTTATTTCTCGGGAAATGTAGACTTTTAAAGAAAATTAAGTTTGATAATTTACCAAAACCGCTTATAAACGTAAACTATTATTATCTGATACATAAAGATAAAAGAGTGTCTAAAGCAGTGACGTGCACCACCACCATGGCATCACGTGACTTCTATTAATAGCGAAATCTTCCTTAATAAAAAGCTAACAGAACAACAATACCCCGAGGTTTGATAATTTCTTTGAGTAAATAATGTTGTTGAAAAACATTTACTTTGCCTAAAAAGTGCTGCTAGAATCCAAATGTCCCTTTAGTAAAATAATTATTTCACACATTCGCAGGAAACCTTACCCCATGTTTTGAATTTTATACATTTGAACCCTGATTTTTCATGAAACCATGCTTAACTCAAATTCTAACAGCACTTTCCAACTTTTTTAGGAGGCACACTTTCCATACGTTCAAATTTGATGTTTTGAAATATTCAGCTTATTGTTGTTCTGTTGCATTAATTTTGTCACAAATGACAGAGGAAAGGCCGACCGGGATACGTATCAAGCTGACTGTCTTTGAAAGAGAATAAAATCGATGAAAATAAACTAGCATACCTGTTTTATTAACTGAACTCCATATGAATATCACAGGATATTAACAATATTTGCTCTTTAAATCCATTATACGTGTCTTTGTACATGCCGCATTAGCCAAATTCTCTTTACAAGGCATGATCAATTCCCGAGTAACTTGATGTACACACATAACGTCATCGGTGGTAGATTTTAATCAAAATGGCAGAATACAGCATTATAGAATAAGAGCAATTAATTTTGTTAGTGTTTACACCTTTCCATTCATTTTCTAGAGTTTAATTACAGCTCTAAATACCAATAATACGAAAACTTGTGTTTTAAAATTGACGTCATCTCGCCTACTATGACGTCATAATGTAGCACTGATTTAGTCAAGGTAGAATATTTTGTATGCTTCCTTATTCCCCCTGCGTTTATCATATAGCTTGGTTGTTAAATTACCATTTACGTCTTCTTAAGTACAATATCCCTGTATGAAACAGATATGTCAGACTCTGTGGTATCTTCCACCACAAGATCACCAGGATATATCGTATCGACGTAGGAATGGAAATTACCATTATGATTGTTAATTGACAATCGTCGTCGATTTAACTAATTTTTTTCTTTTTTTCTTGTGTGAACTACACTGCCCCAAGAAACGATTTGTTCAATGCTATTTTTAGAATGATAAATTTACGTATTGTAGACACTCATGTTCTATTATTGGGAGATAATTCGATCAGTATTTCTGAAAATAAAAGTTTATTTTTAAATGTGCAATTGTTTATTACGAGATCTGGTCGTTTTTGAGTAATGCTTTTAGATTTGTAAGTCCATACTACATTAATTCAATTCTGTATATGCATTGCCTATGTTAGATAATCTTATTGACCTTTGGTTCCTGTGTAAATTAATTTTGAACAATGTACTTTGTGTTACAAATTGTTTTAAAGGAGAGGACGTCCTAAGTTTTTAAGAACTTGTGTCCAATCCTTTTGTTATAACATCAAAACAATAAAATATGTTCAAACCGATTAAATGTCGAGTTCAAGGCCACAGCAAGTGTTTTCTTCTTTTCATGCATAAGATTTTGCACAAATTCTGCTTCATAAGAATACAAAAATAGGTCTGCTCATAACGGAGCGCAATTTGTACCCATGGGAATTCCAATAAATTGCTGGAAGACCAGGTTTCCAAAAACCACATGCATACTGTCAATCAGAAACTCAAGCATCTGTTTGATGTCAGCTTCAGAATACTTCTGTGTGCAATCAGAATGTGTTTTAACAAAATAATTTTGCAAATTGACCAAAAAAGTAAATTTACGAGTTCCATTTTCATTGAAAAAGCAGCTTAATGATATCAAAAAGCCTGGGTTTTGATTTATCGTGGGGAATGGTTGTGTGTATAAAGTTGAAAAGTCATGTTTTTAAGCTGTTGATTTTGGTGAAATCTTTAAATTTCAAACTGTCCAAAAGATCTTTAGAATTTTTGAGTATCCACATCTGATTCACACCACTTTTTTAATATATGTGACGCGCCAAGCAAAAACCTCCCTTATGTCTATTATGACGTAACGTCAAAAGACGCGTCTAAAGTCAACAAGGTAAATGCGACGTAAAAACGTCTCCTTGAGAGAAACTCTCCCCAGTAAAACAAGGGGATGTTGTTTTATTTATATGCTAAGACAGATTCTTGGGTGTAATTTGATGTAGTTTATTCATTAAAAACTTAGTCTCCGTCAAGTGTCTGTTTGATCTTTCTTTTTCACAATTAAGTGTGTATTTTTTAAAGATTTCCAGTGGTGGCTGAAAAATTCCCGTAAGGCCGTTTTTAAAATGAAGTCTGTTTGCCCTCCCCCTATTCGGGTTAAAAAAAAAAATTACATCGGTAAGTAGGTCGATTTTTTTTGTAGGAAATTTTCAGTGTTGAAAAAGACTGAAGGCATACTTTCTGAAATAAAAAAAAGTTGTTGATAGGATGAGAAAATTCCGGAATTAATAATTTGGAAGTTTTAAAAAGATTTTAGTCGGTTCATTTTAAAAGGTCAAACAAACAAGTTTTTAAAGATAGTTTTTTAAATTTAATGGCCAGCTGTTTCATCGTGATGCACATGCAATTTAACAGGAGCATTAAACTAGGGTATTTTTATTTAAATAGCGATGCAATGAAAATTGACCTGAATTACTTCTCTTTTATTTGTGGAATGAATTTAACAGCTACCCAATTTATACGGTATAAACTGGGTTGGGACAGTTAACGCTACCGTTTACATAAATAAAACGTGAACTGTTATTGATAAATAGTTAAGTTTACTCTTAAAAAAAGTATTCTCTATAGATACGACAAAGAGTATTTTATTTGGACGCTTCTTCCGGAATTAGTTTTAGCTGTCGATTTAAAATGAATTTTTTGAAGAAAGACCTTTCGAGCTTCTCAATTTATTTTATTGTTGAACACCTTCTCATGTTGTACAAAAAATGTAGAAAAAATTCGCCCCCCCCCTTTCTCCTGTGTCGCGTGTCTGCTCTATTTCTTTCGATACTTCGTGCAAATTTCGTCTTGAATTTACGGATGCTCGCATACATTGTAAGTTACAGTTCCACTATCTAAAATATTTCATGATTGAGAATTAAACAGATTGAACATATGTTTATCAACCTTTTCATAATCTGTTTGATGAGGTTATACCCAATACACCGAATGTAAAAATGGCAAACATGATACATCGCTAAAATGTTATAATTCATACAAATTGTTACAAATTCATACAATTTGTTTGTCAATGAACACTTTCAAAACATTCCCACCTATTATTATTTTGTGCATGGTTTATCTACATGTACTAACGAAGATTCTGGATTTCTGAAAACAACATAATTTCGGTCATTTATAAAATCGCTGAATCAGGCTGTTGCATGTACATGTAGTAACGTCTCCGGTGCTCATTCAGCCTTCTTAACTTAAAACATCAATGCAGTATGAAAGTATACATTAAACGTTTTAGAGGTTAAAGACTTTCTTTTTAATGATTTTATTTTAACCTTTAGTATTAAGGATTATTTAACCTGCAGTAATTATTTTCCCGACAAAGACTTTACTACCAACATTTCATGATTTAACATCTACCTTGGAAAATAATAATCTTGTTTCCTTCTGTTGAATCGCAATTAAATGAATATGTATATGCGTTTCAAATTATGAAAATTTGCTACCAATTACACGTAATTTATTAAATGTATACATGTAACAAACTTTAACAATGTCAATAAATTTTTCCTGCAAAAGTTGCATTGAACATGTACATGTATGGGCAGTTTAATTCGAAATTAGTACGGTACAAATCTGCACAAAACATTGGCGTCGGAAGCAAGTTGAAAGTGGGGGGGGGGCTAGGTATAAGAAATTTTTATACCTTCAAAAAGACCTGACAAGCAAGAAAAAAAGGAAATGTGCATTGGTTACACACGAAAATCCTATAAGGGGAGGAGGGGGGTTAGGTTCGAATTCCAGTACCAATTTTTTTTCCAAACGCCACCACTTTCCCCATTTTAAACCTATACTGCAACATGTCTATGGAAAGTGGTGGTGGGGGGGGGGGGGGGGCTAAGCCT